TAATAATAATAATAATAATAATAATAATAATAATAATAATAATAGTAGTAGTAGTAGTAGTAGTAGTAGTAGTAGTAGTAACAACATCTGCCTATCCCAGATCCTTGGGAAGGACTCAATAGGTGGATAAAAATGCCGAATCCATCTGGCTGACTGTGCGGCCAACAGTAATAATAATATATTAAATTTATATGCCGCCCGACTCCCAGCAACTCTGGGAGTAGACTAGGCTAAAGGGGGCTTGAATAGTTTAGGATTCTGTGTCTTGTGGGAACCCAGCCATGGTCTTAGCACATTGTCTTGAGACCATGAGATAAGTTGATTTGTTTGGGCTTAGCATGTTATGTAAATGTAACTGTTCAAGGCTTAAGTTAGACGTGTTGTGGAAACACGGCTGTAGATTAGACGGCAGTGTCTATGTGGTGCTAGGTATTTTTTGTTTCTTCCCAATCACTTATCCTTTAATTCCCACTGTTTGTGCTTCCCCTTTTCTTCTCTAAAGCTCATTAATTCAGCATTCCAAGCTGAAATGGAAACCGAAGGAGACTTCCTGAATAAAAAGGGGTCTAAAGTTGCTCTCCAGATCAGCCAAGCCATCTTGCAAGATTACAAGAACCTCACCGATTGTAACAGGGGCCATCTTAACCCAAATGGACACCAGCCTGACTACAGTGCCAAGTCATCTACCTTCACCCTGACGAACATTGTCCCGCAAAACATAAAGCTCAACGGTGGGGCCTGGAACAACTACGAGCAAACCACAATGGCAGAGATGACCAAAGGATGCCAGGAGACATTTGTGGTGGTGGGAGCGGTGCCAGGGGACACCTACATAGCAGGAGGGCGGGTCAACAAGCCCAGCCATTTGTGGTCTGCCGCCTGCTGTGTGATCGACAACAATCATCTTAGATCCTGGGCCATCCTTGCCAGGAATGAAGAAAATGTGGTGCTACGGTTCACTTTAGGCCAGCTGGAGGATCACCTTGCAAGGCTGTATAATGTGAATCATGTCTCCCTCTTTCATAGTGACTGTCCCCGGCAATAAATTATTGTCGTTCTAGCACAAACATGGCAGATACAAAATTGCTTGAACTAATTTAACAATGGGCATATTAAAATTTCCTGCAGGTAGCAGCACAGAGCCAACTGGGCTGATCATGGAAAGCTAAACAGGGTCAGATCTGGTAAGTATCTTCAGGAGGAAGCACTACCCAAGCCCAGATATTAGGGTAGAGGGGGAAGTTGGAAAAGCAAATGGGAAAAATGAAACGCAAACTGCTTTTATCCTGTTGCAAAGAGAATGACATGGTGTCACTCATGAGGTGTTGATCCCAACTCAAGGGAGTCTTTATCATTAATATCCTGTGAGCCATCAGGAAGGCAGTGAAATGCTTGCGCTGGCCTCCTCCTCCTCCTTCCCAGGGCTGAGAGAGAGGGACTGGCCCAGAGTCACCCAGTTGGCTTCATGCCCAAGGGGGGACTAGAACACACAGTCTCCTGGCTGCTAGCACGGAGCCTTAACTGCTGCACCAAACTGGCTCTAGTAGTTAATAGCTAATCTCAACACCCCGTAGCCCAAGCCAAGCGGGATTGTGCAGAAAATTTCCTCCATGATGTGCTATCCAATCACGTCCTCTCCCTTTCTTTGGTCCGTTCGGTACAACTGGAAGCAGCAACGGGCAAATCCCAACACAGATGCAGTGGTGGAATTGTACTAGGTCTCAGTAGGGATATCCTGTTTATTCCAAGCACTTCTATCTTGCTAGCAGGAAAAAGAGGGCAATTCCTTGATTAAGTTACAGCATTAAAAAAGGCAGCCCTTATCTGCAGGTATATAATCTAGAAGAAGTGATGCAAAAACGAAAAGAGGAGGAAGGAAGAGGGGAAAAAGAAAGAAACTCAGGTACAAACTCTTGAAGTTGACCAGATTGCCCATGCTGGCTGGGGAATGCTGGGAGTTGAAGTCCACTCATCTTAAAGTTGCCAAGGTTGAGAAACACTGGTTTAATGCTAAGCACCTGGAAACAATGCAGGGAAAGGAAGAGGTGGTCTTTCTGCAGGGTTGGTAAAATGCCCCGCTTTGGAGAAACTGCTGATCACATCTTAAACATTTATTCATTGAAAGGGTTTTTATTATATTGTTCATTCCCCAAAGCTTCCACAGTAGTTTACATAGAACAGTGGGGAAAAAAGGCATGGCTTGTCAGCAAGCATACCACCTAAAAGACACAACCCCAAAGGAAAGAGGCTCTGAGGGGGAAGATGGGTAAGGCAAGCCCAAGGGCTAATTCTTGCAGTTCAGTGGAACTTGCCTGTAATGGGTATAATGATATAAGTGGGGCTTTCCCCCCTCCTGCTGCCAGGTTGCCTCTTCTGCTAATACCTGTTGCCTTGCAGAGAACCTTCTCAGTGGACACTGCAATGGACAGGCTTAATATGAGCTTAGCCCCGCCGCCCCATGAACAGGAAACACCCATTTCATGGAAGGAAAATGGAGAAAGCAAGTGAATGAGATTCCACGCATAGTATGTCAGGCAAACGTATCCATTTTGCTGTTAACCCTTGGCAGTGAAATTCCTGGGGTTGCAAGGAAGTAGCCCAGGTCACATGCGGCCTATGGTCCGCGTGTTTTCTATCCTTCCAACGATACCGTGCCTGCACTATCCAGAGGAGAAGTCATAAGATCTTGTCTGGTTATCAAGCAGAATTAATACAGAGCATTGCTTGCATGCACATAGCATTCTGGTGCATTCAGGCTATTCCATCCCCTCCACGGAAGTAGCTGAATCAACTTCTAGCACGGGGATGTTACTTCTGGTGTACTGGTTAAGATGTTGGAATGGGATGGCCCAGGTTCAAATCCTCCCTGAGCCATGGGTGATCTGAAGCTCATTGGGCGATTTGGAGCTAGTCATTCTCTTCCAGCCCAACGTATCACACAAGGTAGCTGTTGTGGGAAAAAAATAAAGAGGAAGGAATCTAATGTATATCACCTTGAACTCCTGGAGGAAAGGTGGGGTATAAATAGCATATTATGAATAAATAAACAGGCACAACCATGGAGTGGCAAATGCGAAGAGCCAAGAAACCATCTTTGGGCGACTTGGCTATTCCAACAGGCTCTTAGAGCTGGAGTGGTATGAAAGGTTCCTCTGTCCATGGAAGGTCTTTTAATTCTGGTTGGATTGACCATGGTGTGTTTCTAGTCCCACGTATTTTGCTTTCTCAGGATTGGTTCTAATTGGAGCCCTCTAAAATAAAAATTAAAAATATGAACAAGAAGGGAGCCCTGTGGGCTACTAATATTCCCCCTGCTATTATGCTTGGAAGTGACACTAATTTAACAACCAAGATCCAAGAGAAGAACAGGGACGCAACAACCAATCGCCAAGAGAAAGAGCACAAGGACAAGTGTCCAATCTTCTCTCACCATGTACCAGGTTTGCAGTTTCAAGGCCATTAGCAAAAGAAATCAAACCAAAACAGCAACAGTGTTCACCATGTGTGCTATTCTTTCAGATCAATATGTAATACCCCCCAGGGCAAGATGGTTCATCTTGGTCTAGATATTCTCCTAGAGAGATCCATGCTTGATCATGCGGAGAAGTTCTAAGCTGCCATGGGGAGGAAAGCAGTTGTGTTTCTCTGTTGCTTCTCACTGGTGATCCTGGACATCCAGAGAAGCTGTAAGCACTTTTGAAGGGATGGGGTCATTTTGACAATAAAACAAAGGTTGAAGTAAGGAGGAGGAGAATGACACCTTTTTTCATGACTTTTGGGAGAATTGGCCACAAGAGAACAACTGGATATTTGGACCAGCAAAGAGGAAGAGCAGCCCACTGATTGAACAAAGTATGGGATACTGTGAACAAAGCATATGAAAGACTTTAGGTGGAGATCAGTCTGGGGAAAGGTGTACAGCAATTCCAGGCCATGCAATTCAAGGGGGACCTCCAGAGTAGATGACTGGTTATTGGTAGGAGGAAAGATGTTGCAGTAAGACAGCTGTCTCAGAAAGGATGCCTATGCGCTTTGGATGAGTATAGAGCAGTTTCAAAGTACCTTTGAAGGGTGGAAAACCTATGCATTCCAAAATATAACTTTTCACTTGGTTATGACATCTATAGAATGTGGTGGTTTCCCAGAGCAGTTTTAAGAACTCTGGAAGGGCAGTTGTCTCTGTAGGGATAATACTGCATATGGGCAATCTAAGCGTAAAGGTTTCTGGGGAGGACAGTATAGCCACTCAAGAGGGACAGCTGTCTGGAGCGGTCTGGAACTGGGGAGGAACATATGGGACCTCATTTGGATAATGTTTTTCTGGAGCATGAGTGGGGCAGCTGTCTCTGGAGTGGCATATGAAGATTATGTTGGAATAGAGGGGTGGTCAATAGGGCAAGGTTTCTATGGGGAAATGTATTCTTCTTCCAGAGGGTCAAGTGCATCTGGAGGAATGTATGGAGACCCTGGTGGAGTATATGGGGGCTCTGGAGGAATATTTGGCTGCTCAATAGACTGAGATGTCTTTGGGGCACTGTATATGAATCCTGGAGGAATAGATGGAGGCTCCAGATTGATGATCTCTGAAGGAATAATGGGGGGATCTGGAGGAATGTAGGGGGGCTCCAGAGTGGTAGTGGTCTGTAGGATAATATATGTTATCTTGGGAGGAGGAGATTCTCCTGAGAGAATGTATGGATGTTGTAGAGGAGCAGGGATTTCTGGGGGGATGTATGGAGGCTCTAGAGGGGCAGGAGCTTCTGGAGGGGCGTATGGGTGTTCTAGAGGAACAGGGGTTTCCTTGGGGATGTATGGATGCTCTAGAGGGGTAGGAGCTTCTGGAGGGGTGTATGGAGGTTCTAGAGGGGCAGGAGTTTCTGGAGGTGTGTATGGAGGGTCTAGAGAAGGAGGAGTTTCTGGAGGTATGTACGGAGGGTCTAGAGAAGGAGAAATGTCTGGAGGCATGTATGGAGGGTCTAGAGGGGCAGGAGTTTCTGGAGGTGTGTATGGAGGGTCTAGAGGGGCAGGAGTTTTTGGAGGGGCGTATGGACGGTCTAGAGGAGCACGAGTTTCTGGAGGTAGGTGTGTATGGAGGGTCTAGAGAAGGAGGAGTTTCTGGAGGTATGTACGGAGGGTCTAGAGAAGGAGGAGTTTCTGGAGGTATGTACGGAGGGTCTAGAGAAGGAGGAGTTTCTGGAGGTATGTACGGAGGGTCTAGAGAAGGAGGAGTTTCTGGAGGTATGTACGGAGGGTCTAGAGAAGGAGGAGTTTCTGGAGGTATGTACGGAGGGTCTAGAGAAGGAGGAATGTCTGGAGGCATGTATGGAGGGTCTAGAGGGGCAGGAGTTTTTGGAGGGGCGTATGGACGGTCTAGAGGAGCACGAGTTTCTGGAGGTGTGTGTGGAGGGTCTAGAGGAGGAGGAGTTTCTGGAGGTATGTATGGAGGTTCGAGGACAGCAGGGGTCTCTGGAGGAGTGTATGGTACTTCAAGAGATGGAGGTTTCTCCACAGGCACATATGGTGGCTCTAGAGTGGCAGAGGTCTCTGAAGGTATGTATGGATTTTCTAGAGGAGCAGGAGCCTCCAGAGGGGTATATGGAGGTTCTATAGGAGTGGGGGTCTCCTGGGGAATATATGGTGGCTCTAGAGAGGCAGGCGTCTCCAGGAGGATGTATGGAGGTTCTAGGGGGACAGATGTCTCTGGAGGCATGTATGGAGGCTCTAAATGAGCAGAGTTCTCTAGCGGGATGTAGGGGGGCTCCAGGGTGACTTTTGCTTCTGGAGGAACATATGGGGGAGGCAAAGCAGTTGGGTCTGGAAAGCGGTATTGAATTGAGCTATGAGCTGATTTTGGAGATTCTTTAGAGTATGGTCTCAAGCGAAATGGCTTCTCAACTGCAATAAATGGAGGCTTCAAGATTATTGCCGTCTCTGTAGGGATGTAGGGGGACATTGGAGGTGAAGGAGTTGTTTCTTCTGGGACATATGGAGGTTCTAGAAGTGGGGGAACTGTTTCTTGAGGGAGGTATGGTGATTCCATGGTAGCTGTGTCCTCAGTGATTGAGGC